CCGTGAATCAAGGGGACGGAGCTCAACTGCAAAATACTTATTTTTTTTACAAGAAATTAAAAACATGTTTTTGAGTATCGTGTTGTTCAAAGAATACTATATACATTAAAAAAAAAAAAGGCAAAATATAAAACCCCGCCCGCCCACCCCATCTCAATTGTGGTGATTTTTTTATTCTTAAAAACTTAAAACACGTTTGAAATGGTACATTTTTGCAAGGAAATATGGATTTTGCAATTAGGCCCGCCCCTAGATCTGGCAAGACATATGTATGTTGCAATAAAGACTTGTTTAATAACTTTTTGCAATGACGTCATCAACTTTATGGCGAGAATAATAATGGTATTTTAATTTTGGATAATTGTCATAATAAGTGATTGATATCTATTATAGATAGAGGGACTGTGGAAATTTTTCAATAAAAATGTAGACAGCTTTAATATTTTTTACGTTAACGTTTTTAGACTTTTTGGTGGGGATTACATAAAACTTTGGAAATACACAATGTAACACTAATTATAACGTTAAAATTTCAGATAAAAATGAGTAGCAATTTTCGAAATATGTAATGGAAAAAATGTGTCGCCTTATATGTTCTTGAATGTTTTTAGCTGATCAGTTCTAAAAATTAACGGATAATATATATGTTAAGGCACATTTTCCAACGCAAACATTTATTTCACATTGTTTTAAAATGAAGTTATCAGTTTGATAGCTAAAATCAATAATTAAACTGTAGTTAATATTCTGCAATCTGATCCAACTGAAGAGTTTTACGTCAGTTATCTAGTCTCTAGCATAGACATAAAACATTTTTAAGACAACCTGTATAAGTAATGTACACTGTAGACTAATAATTACAAGGATATGCTATTCTGAACATTTATGTGTAATTTGACTTAACAATATTTCAACATGACGTCATTTTTGGAGGAATAAAATGATACAAAATAACATAGATTCATATTTTTTTTTTATTATATCTTACATTTTGAAGAAAAAAAGATAATACTGCCAGAATAAGTTTTGTTTTCAAAAGTCGATTTATTATATTTATAAGTCTGATACACAAATAAGAATTGATGTACATATTTTATTTGTTAATAGTAGTATTATAACAACTTGAAAAGCACTAAACTTTAACATTGAGTCAAATGGTATGTTATACGCGTACTTTAAAGTCCCTTAGGTATTATATCGAAGAGTAATGATTTATGCATGATGTATTGCAATAAATCGTTGGATGTCACTAATGTCGATATTTTCCTCTTTCACTCTAAAAATCTCTCATTAATCTGACCATTGTCGACAAGAAGGTTAACCGTACATGAACTATTGAGCACAGAAATCGTGAGGCTCCCTACGCCTCCCGGGATAATGGGATTTCTTTTAAAACTCGCGTTTCAAAAATACATTCACAATTATTAATAGCCCTTGCGCAACCTTAATTTATTTCTTATAAATTTTCCGATTATCGATATTTAAATAACAATATCTCTAGTGACAAAAATAAATTATTTACCTTGTGAAATAAAAACATAATAGGCCATAAAGTACAAAAGAAATGTCTCCTAACACCATAATTTACTTCATACAAACAACTTTGTCAAAATTTTAGTATAAATAAACACGTAATTGAATACCGGTCAAGCGATGTAGGTAGTGATAAAATTAATGTTGGGAAAAGGTATTTTTTGCGAAAGAGTAAGTAGTACTTGCACTAAAATCAATTGCCGCTTTACCTCTTGGCAGAAAATGAGTTTTTCCATTTAATGGTGCATTTTATTAAAACAAGTTTGAATCCGGTAGGCATTAATCAGAGAATATCTAATCAAATCGTGTTGTGATTAACGACGAAGCTAATTAATTAATTTTAAAAAGCGTAATTACGACGCGAAATTTGTTCGTGATAAATTAACATCTATTAATAAATTATAATTATACATTATTGAGTTGTATAATGTTTTTTCAACTTGGGTAGATAGAATGTAATCAACTTCGCTCATAATAAAACAAGAATCATAAATAAGAAAATAAGACTAGGTAGAAATAAAACACGTCTAATTTAGATAGTATTTATTATGAAAATTATTAATTAAAAGCTCGTTTTTTCTTCGATGATTTAGATAAGAATTTCATTATGAAACAACAGTAAAATGTGTTAAAGTACTGGTTGTTTTGTGGGTTATAAGCTTATTAAAATTATAGTAGTTTTTGTCGCATCACAAAAAGTTTTTTAAGTTATTTAGAAAAATTATAATGTACGTACATGTAACTTTTATTTTGGTCTTTATGTCAAAATTTCTTTTATCGAACGATGTGACAATTGTAATGATGTTATCACAAAATTAACCTTCAGTTTAATAATTCACCCTTATTTTTATTCTATTTATAGACGTTATTGAACACAAAAAAAATCCGTAGAAACAAATTTTCTAATTTATCCAACAAACTGACACTTTTAGGAAAATTCCCCTGAAGTATTTTCTTACACGATAAGTACTAGTTTTATATCTTCGTGTGCTTAAAATAATTCCAACCAGTATTAAAAATAGATAATCATAAAAACCTACCACAATGCAAACATAATATACATAAATACTATTTTGGATTTTATATAAGAGATATTAATCGACTTATTATTAGAACTACTGAGGTAAGACAAAAAATAAAAAATGTAATGGTATGTTAACAACAAACAACAACATCGCCGAAGGTGAACTCCATCCTAACCTCGCTTGAAAATTATGGAAAATATTTTTCAAATAACACCCCAAAATTTATTTTTACTTCCCCAGCTTGCAATATTTATAACTAAAGAAAATAAGGTCAAACTGAAAAAATGCCCAGTTTTCTATTTTCTTGACATCCAATTGTTTATAGGACAAAAAAAGGTTGATTTATATTTTTCTGTATTTAAAAAAGATGAGAACGTTGAAATTTAAGCGATGCTTTGAGATTCAACAGCTCAAAAAAATTATGAAACTTGTCAAAATATTGCTGTAAATTTCAATTTAAATCATTATTTTATAGTTATGTGATGACTTCTTGATGACATCAAATTAAAAAATTATTATTACCTTTATGGTAAAATTCACCCTCACACGCTCTGAAATTTGTTGTTGTTCAAGAGAAAATCTCTGTCAATAACAACTTTTATTATTTAAATTAGCAAATTAATTATCAACAATTACAAGTACTATTTGTCATTTGAGTGTCGTTTAGTGTGTGGTTTTAATGTATTTATGATAATCACCAAGTTGCTAATGCTTGCAAATAATTCGTGTTATGTACAAATTATACGTTTCCATGATTTCATTGTTGGTAAATCTATCCATGTCTACTAACTTTTCTAAATTATAGCTTTACAGATAGAACCGTCACACCTGACAGATTCCACAATCTCTTTGATTCTGAAAGCATACCCTATAATTTGAAATTTATTGTTTAAATAAAACTCACCTTTTGCTAAAATTTTAAAATAAGTAGGTATAATACTTATATATTTTTTATTGATAAATATGTATTTCGTAAATTTATAACTTACATTCAAATGTGATTATGTAATATATCAAACAATTTGTAATTTTTTTCAATATTTAAACATGTGTACAGATAGATGTACAATAGGAGAAACGGATTTCTCAGGGCAGTTTATTAATAAGAGCTAAGTAACTAACCTTGAATGTTTTACTATTTCCAATATCGCGATAGTGAGGCAATATCACCCTGTATACTTAGAAACAAAAGATAAGTATTTGAACCATTTTTTTGCATACACATTTTTTATATAACCAGACCATAATCGAAATCTATTTCACAAAACGTCAAAATTTTTACTAAAATTTACCTAAGCGAAGAGCGTTTTTGTTTAATGCATACTTAAAAATTTAAATTATGCTGCTAATGAATATAAAAAAAAAAAAATACGATATAAAAATTCAGTTATTTTACAACTAAGTACATACATATTGAATAGCGATAAATAAAACTACGAATTTATAAAAATATTTCATTACGTTTATTGGTTTGGGTTTGTATATTTTCAAAAATAGTGTTTTAATCACAAGACTAAATGGACACGTACAACATTTTTGATCCAGACGTGAATTATCATGAAAGAACCCAACGAACTGCGCATGCTTTGCTGGAAATAATGATTTAGAATGTTATTGTTTAAACGATTTTAGATTAATTTAATGTGAAAACACGAACTATAATTAACTGAGACTTAATTATTCGCTAATTTCTTTGCCTGTTTACTCTCATTACAAAATAATTATATAAAAGTGTCATTCACGTTTTCAACACAACAAGTTTGTATATTCTACACATAAACTTTAACGGCTGCGTATAACAAAGTCTTGACGTTACTACATTTCCTTGTGGAATTGTTGCGAAAACATTCCTTCAATTTTCAGACGTAGGTACTTAGTTCATTAACCGACTACAACCCCTAGAGTTGGAACCAGAATTTTGAAAGTAATATAATTTTTATTGATTTTAAATCACAAAAATTAGAAAAATTGTCTTTATGCAAAAAAGTCTTCATTAAGACAGAAAACAAAATAAAATCATTGTTAATAGTTCTATGATTGATGCCTATGAACCGCTCTAAATTTCTACTTGGCAATCATATTTCATACACGTATGATTCACATCGGCATAAATTCTTCAATCGAAATATCGAATGGAAAATAATGTAAACATCTCAAGTTTTAAAATTAACCGAAAACGTGCCGTACTTGAAACTGGAATGCACAACGAAAATATTCCCCGTCTATTTCGAACAAAAAAAAATATCCGCAATTCCACTCCTGACGTCGAGGTGTGCAAAATTTCAAATCCAAACTATTGTTTAACGTCCCTCCGTCCGCACTCGTAAAACCGCCATAAAATCACATCGCAACATTTCCACTCCGAAATTAGATCAGCATTTAAATAATCAAACCATCAACTCCGAACGTCCTTTTTGCATAATCGACCGGTTTCGCACTCACCTGAGGATAACAGCAGGAACGCGCATCCTTGCTGCAGAAACGACAAACCAAACACAAACACTACATAATCACCTCACTCGAAATTCGAAAAGCCCGCCACGCAGAGCCTCACCACCTCATCCTGGGCAATTCGTCCTGGAAATATCCTGTCACGTGTGAAATGTGGACCACGGCGCTCGATCCGCTTAACAGCGCGAAGAGCGAAAAGGAACTAAACGTGTGTTGTACAGCAGTAGACGATACGACTTGGTCTGTTATGTCCAATCAGATTTCATTTCGACATGTGCCCAAACCTAGTGCACTTTGGGTCGCACGAGATATTGTTTTAAATGGAACAATGAGCTTTTATTGCCAAAGTTTAGTGGCTGGAACGACGCAAGAAAATGCCGTTCGGATTAAATTTTTTCGCCGACACGTGGCGCGTATGTGAATTATTGGGGACCTCACAGCGATGATACCATAAATTAAGAGAACTGGTTCTGGGTTATTTGCATTATTTAACCGGGAAAATCGCGCTAATTGCTCGAAAAAGCACCGGAATGGGCGAATTAAAATGTCGTTCAACAGGCGATTAAATTAAAGGCGGGGCGAGGGGGTTAATCCCTTCGAATTTATTACTTTTAATAAAAAGGGTTCTACTACATAAAAAACGCTTGAGCTGGACATTACATTCCAGATTTGCACTTTGACTAGGTAATCGTACTTATTTGTGTACATAGTGTGGATAAATTATAAATATTTCTTTGTAGAATCGAATTTTAATAGGACAACAATTTCCTACAAATGGTGGTATTGATTGGCTTTTTTTATATGAATTTTGGTTTTGGCTGTTTAATTCAATTAAAAAATAGATACCTAATAACATATTGATATAATCATACAAAATAAAAATGATACCAAATGATGCTAACAGAACTAAAATAAAAAAAAAGACCATTTTATTTGATCACAAGTATAGATCTTTACGTTTAAAGAAAACAATGAATAGCTTAACACAGCGTTTATACATTGAAAACCTAATTAGCCACATTTACACTAGACTTGCAAGTCTCGTAGTGAATATTTATGAATGTACAATTGTCGGCACAGTTTTATCTTCGTGCATTGTGTTTTCATTTCATTGAAAATTTCCCGACGTATTTTTTTTTACTTTGGCATTTAATATTAAATCAGACGAACTTTATTATCTGCTGTTAATATTTGAATAATACGTATTCATACGTATTCATACGTATTATTTCCTACATGCAGTAAACGCGCGTGTGTGTCTTCCATTCATCGCTATCTCCCCACTTTCATTCACTTCTTTCGGTCTCCCACCTATTTGTATTCAATATGTACATGTTCCTTGTTCCTCTTATTCTAACCAAAACGTATTCTCGTTTCATTGCTTGTATATGCTATCTCAGATTTTCTGGTTCTTTTCTTGTTTATGTTTTCGATACGTTCGCTTCACTCTTTAGTTGCACATCTTTCGTTTTTCTTATATTTTTCTTACTATATGAACGCATTTGTTTCGTACCTATACACATTCTTTCGTTATTTCTTCATTTCTAGGATTTATGTAACATTGAGAGCTGATGTACGAAAGTTCAGTTAAATATATATTTGATTGAGATTAAATTTTTAATGCGGCATTACCACGTGAGCGACTCTACGCCAATCAGATGTCGCAAAACGTCTCATTAAATGCGTGAATAACTTACCCTCTATTAAAGTATTCTATAATCTTATCCTTTAACATTCGGGTTATTTTTAATTTATTTTTTGCTATTTCCCACATATTTTTGTACGTGAGCTTTATTTAAAGTTTGTTTGATAAATACTTATGTATTCTTTTCTTTCTCAGTTGGATTCTTTTTCTTTGAAATTTCAACAAAAATTTCCAAACTTTGCTGTTTAGTTTTTTTGTCACATATCACCGTCATCGATATTTTTCTAAATCTCCTGGCCTGAAGCTTCTTATAAAAAATTTCCGTCCCCTCTGAAACACAATCAAGCTGTTATTTAATTAAATTAAAATATATGAATGGATTAATCAGGAATACATTTGTGGTGACGTATTCAAAATTTTTGTGAAGAGAGACAAACAATTTTGATTAGCGATCCATCAGGCATGTGCCAAGTGTTCGAGTAAATAATGGTTTAGTAGTTTTTAAGAAACATTATAAAAAAATTTTACAGTTATTGATTTTTTTTTCAAAAATCCACACACGCACAATTTCAAATATGGACGCAGAGATAAACCACAAGTATAGACTCATAATATTTTACACATTTTAGATAAGATTTATCTAGCAAAATTTTGAAATGACGTCATCAAGTTTTTGAACGGGATAAGCAGATAAATTTTGATTATCAATTTACCATGTTCATGACAAGCTCAAAGCGGTTGCAAGTTTTCGGAATAGCTGATTTAGCATTTTCTAAAATTCATTCATCTGGTATAATTTTCACTTTTTTCCAAAAAATCTACACGTTGAAAGTAAAAAAATAATGACGGATTAATAAACATATATTATTTAAAAACTGAAATTTATGTAGCAAAAGTTTGAGATAAAGTTATTAAATTGTGGTTAGGGATGGATAAATAAATTTTAGGTAGACTTTAACCATCAACATGATGGTCTTAAAATAGCAAAGTTTGACAGCAATCGGTCGAGTAGTTTCAGAGATTCCATGTTTAATAATCACGTGAACAGACATACATGCGGAAACGGGGACCGACATTTGCGTACAAGCCGTAAAATGACGACGAAGCACGAAATTAACCATTCGTCCAATTGGCCCTATTACAATACTTCCCCTACTTACTTATACTCAGGAAGCAAAACTTTATAAAAAAAAATATCGGTCTAAGGTTATGTCATTAAAACTTTCCTTGCCCCTGAATGCAGTCCAACAAATTCAAGTTCTTCAAAAATTTATGAAATTTGATAATACCGATCACATTGTAAAAAAAACAGTGGTCCATGAGAGCATCGAATTGATGACCTTCATTAGCAGACCGCGCTTTAATCAGAAACCGTAAACAGCTGTTGGGGACCTCATATATTCGTGTAAAACATTAATATACAATTGTATTTTTTTGCAAAAATCGGAATAGCTAGGGCGGATTCATAAACCACAAGTAGGTACAGGAATTTTATTTTATAAAATTTAAATACCATTTACTACGAAACTATTTGAGTTGACCTCATCAAATTGTTGGTGGGGATGATCAGACAAAAACGATATAGACAACAAATAGACAACAGATAGATAGCAGACATATGAAAATGGGAGAATTTTTTTTCAGAAACTTTAATTTTTCAGTACATATCATTTAAAACAGAAGAAAAACTAGATTGTAAAATATAGAGGTTTTGTTGCTTCCATATTTTTACAACTCGAGCTTATAAGCTTGGACAGTAATGTAATATGATCCATCCGCGACTGACTATTTTCATGTTTTCTCGACGTTTCGTGATCCCTGGAGTATGAAAAAATAGATCTCTTATTTCCACCTGTCTCTCTGTCATCTGTCTGTCGTCTGTCTGTCGTCTATCTGTCTGTCTGTCTGTCTGTCTATCGTCTGTTTGTCTGTCATTTGTGCCGATTTTGATTAGACAGATAATCTCCGCAACTACCGGACCGACTGTTTTTTATCAATTCCATTGCATATTTTACGAGTACACCACATATGTGCTCTACGGTAGTTCATCTACATATATCAAATATCCGCACACTCTGTGTCTCTATCCCTCACTTATCCCTTGTAGTCCTTCATTCGCTGATTTGTCTTCTGCTACTTCTGCTGAATATTTCCAAAAGTAGACTAACCTAATACTGATTTATATTTTTGTTTTTGTCGTTTGTGATTAATAAATATTGATTGATTGAAAGTAGGACATTCTAGAGGAAATATAAAGAAATATTATAGTCAAAGTATTTATTTGTTGATTATTATTGAGTTATCTAACTTTTTTTGGTAGCATTCTGTATTCCTATAACTGGGTTCGCTTGTTGGAATACTATTACGAATAATAATAATAACTATTGTTACATTATTTCCTTAATTTTTGTTTCTATTCATACTAAATTTGTTTATTTGTGTGTTCGCATTTCTTTTTGTAATTTAACTTGATTCTTCATTGTTTTCGAGCTCTTCGTTTCAGATCTTTGCACTTTCTATTTCATCGTTTCTTCCTTCGTTCTCGCTACTGCTTACTTCAGGCCTGTAGCATTTTTTAAATGAATTCTGTTTTTTTTAATCCCACTTTTTTATTTTACCTCTATATTTTATTATTCCATTTTCTTTTTTTTTTTCTAGATTCGTGTTTCTCTTTTCCAGTATTTCATTTTTCATATATTTTGAGCTCACTTGGTATATGATCTCAGTCATATTTATCTCCAGTCTAAATTATTCTTTGTCTTTCCTCACCGTCTCCCCGTTTTTATTTTTCTTTAAAATTTTCCAATCGCCTTGTAATTTCCCTTCTCTATTTTCTTCATATCATTCTCCTCGAGGCTTTTCTCCTTTTCCCTATGTTGTTTCTATGTACATGTTCCTTGTTATTTTTTCCAGTTTTCGAATGCACTGTAAATATTTTTCAACCATTTTCTATTATTAATATATTTTTTATTTTTTTTAAATGCGGAAGTTTTTGTTCCCATTTTTTCATTTTCTTTTCTTGTACAGTAAAATAGCTCACATTTCACAAAACTCTTGTTCTTTTTCTTGAATTCAATCTTTCACTTACTTACTTTCTTTGTCTTATTGTTACTTAATTCTGATTTTTTGTCCTCTTCTATATTTTTCTGTTGTCTTCTATTCGACTTTTTATGACGTCTTCTATTGCGTTCTCTAAAAGCAAAGATGTGTAAGATGCTGATAATCCCCCTTCAGGTGATGGAAAAAATGCTTCACTTTAAATCGATTTTTCAAAAGTCAAATAAAGTAAACGGCAGGGCTTGACCTCTCCGTCCGGTAAAATTTCATCTCAACAGAAGCCCCCATATAGTACCCTTTGGGTCACACGAGATGTTTTAAATGGAAAAACGAGTTTTTATTGCCACAGTCTAGTGGACGGAACGACGCAAAAAATTGCGATTCGGATTAAATTTTTTTGCTGACACGTGGCCCACATGTGAATTATTGGGGACCTCATAACGATGATATCATAAATTACCTGACAGAACTGGTTCTGGATTCATTTACATAACTTAAACGGGAAAA